TTTTTTTTATTATCTCTATCTCCTTCAGTTCTGCTCTGACCTTAGTTATTTCTTGCTTTCTACTAGCTTTTGAATGTGTTTGCTCTTGTTTCTCTATTTCTTTTAATTGTGATGTTAGGGTGTTGATTTTAGATCTTTCCTGCTTTCTCTTGTGGGCATTTAGTGCTATAAATTTTCCTCTACACACTGCTTTAAATGTGTCCCAGAGATTCTGGTACGTTGTGTCTTTGTTCTCATTAGTTTCAAAGAACATCTTTATTTCTGCCTTCATTTTTTAAATTTACCCAGTGGACATTCAGGAGCTAGTTATTTAGATTCTATGTAGTTGTGCAGTTTTGAGTGAGTTTCTTAATCCTGAGTTCTAATTTGATTGCACTGTGGTCTGAGAGACAGTTTGTTGTGATTTCTGTTCTTTTACATTTGCTGAGGAGTGCTTTCCTTTCAACTATGTGGTCAATTTTGGAATAAGTGTGATGTGGTGCTATGAAGAATGTATATTCTGGTGATTTGGGGTGGAGAGTTCTGTAGATGTCTATTAGGTCCGCTTGGTGCAGAACTGAGTTCAAGTCCTTGATATCGTTGTTAACCATCTGTCTTGTTGATCTGTCTAATATTGACAGTGGAGTGTTAAAGTCTCCCATTATTATTGTGTGGGATTCTAAGTCTCTCTGTAGTTCTCTGAGGACTTGCTTTATGAATCTGGTGCTCCTGTATTGGGTGCATATATATTTAGGATAGTTAGCTCTTCTTGTTGAATTGATCCCTTTACCATTATGTAATGGCCTTCTTTGTCTCGTTTGATCTTTGTTGGTTTAAAGTCTGTTTTATCAGGGGCTAGTATTGCAACCCCTGCTTTTTTTTCTTTCTTTTTTTTTTTTTTTTTTTGCTTTCCATTTGCTTGGTAGATCTTCCTCCATCCCTTTATTTTGAGTGTATGTGTGTCTCTGCATATGAGATGGGTCTCCTGAATATAGCACACCATTGGGTCTTGACTCTTTATCCAATTTGCCAGTCTATGTCTTTTAATTGGGGCATTTAGCCCACTTACTTTTAAGGTTAATATTGTTATATGTGAATTTGATCCTGTCATTATGATGTTAGCCAGTTATTTTGCCCGTTAGTTGATGCAGTTTCTTCTCAGCAGTGATGCTCTTTACAATTTGGCATGTTTTGGTCTTTACTTTTAGATCTTTGCCAGCTGGAGAAACCACAGATGAGAAACACGTTTAGTTTCCAACTTGGCAAATCATGGCTTCTATATTTTCTCTAAGTTCTGCTTTAAGACTGAACTATTTCTCTTTGGTTTATCCCAATCTCTGTCTTTCTCTATCTTGTTATATGAAGCTAAAAAAAAGCAGTACTTTTAATATTCCTGGAATATTAGAAATCTAGAAATCTTCTTAGCAGATTCATGAGGTACATTTTCTGTCTTCCACGTTGCCTCAGGTGACAGCCTGGTCAGCGGTACTGCCTTTTGGTAGCATGGCTGCCTCCCTCCAGTCTCCTGCTGTAGTTTCCCCACTGCTCTTCCAGCTTCCACTAACAGTCTTCTCACTGCCCCCCTACCTCTGCCCACCACCCAGTTCCAAAGCTAATGCAGTGTGTTTTAATTTCTAGAGGCTCTCCACAATTGATACTGATTTTTCCTGTTTTAGTCAGCTTCTGCTGTTTAACCAACCAACCCAGAACTTGGTGGCTTAAAACAATGATTTATTATTTCTCACGGTTCTGTGTGTTGGCAATCTGGGTGATTCTACTCTTGGTCTCATTTTGGATCACTCATATGCCTGTGGTCATTTCCTAGATCGGCTATGGTCGGAGGGTTTGGCAGCTGATACTAGTTGTCTTCCAGGGTGGTTTGTTTCTCCCCTCTATGGCCTGTTCTCTATAGTTGGCTGGACTGGGCTTCTTCACAGCATGGTCTCTGGGTTTCAACAGGGTGAGAGGGAAAGCCACAAAGCCTCTTAAGTTCCAGGCTCTGGAACCTGAACAATGTCATTTTTACCCCCGTTTTATTAGTTAAAGCAAATCACAAAGCCCGCCCAGAGTCAATGAGTAGAAAAGTAGATTACACCTCTTAATGGGGAAACAGTGATGCCATTTGCAAAGCGGGCACGGACACAGGGAGGCATGACACACTGCAGTCATTGTTATAATGACCTACCACATTTACTTTTTAAAACCAACAGTCCCATGGAAGGACTTGCTTCATGCTATTTTTGAATAGCTTTCCTAACAGTACCTTCTACTCTGGCGTTCTTCCTGTGTTTGTTACCCCTTTCCTTTTCAGTCTCCTCTATGAACTCTTTTTAACCCTTTAATGTTGGTGCACCTCAGGACAATTAACTCTGTCCACTGTTCTTACTTTATAGTCTCTCTTTCTTTATTCCCAGCTAGGCTCATGATTTTAACGCTATGCATAGATGCTCTACAAATCTATAATCTTCCTTCCACACCTTTCAACACCAGCTCTTTAGACTCATGAATCCAGTGGTGGCTAGACAGCTTCTCCTTTCACTCTGCCTCAAATCCATATTGAACTCATCCCAAGCCTACTGTTATATTCCAAGTGTTAGTGAATTAGACCATTGGTTGCTGGAGTCAGTCCTCTTCCTCTACCCTTCTCCAAGCTCTATCAATCTTACTTTCTAAATATTTGTCAAATACACCCCTTTCTGTCCTCATGAATGTTAATTTAGGCTATCATAATCTCTTGTCCAGACGGTAACCTTCAACTGGTCCACTTGCCTCCAATATTTCCATTCTCAAGTTACAGTGACTTACTAAAAGACATGTGACTATACCTCCTTCCTGCTTAAAACCCTAAATGACTCCTCAGTACCTACATTTTCCATTGTGAGTTCCAAAGAACACTTATTCCATGGGATGCTAATAGAAACTGCATGAAAAATGAAGTTTCCATGCTCAAATTACTTTGGGAAATGGTGGCTTAAATAAAGTTAAATTGGTTTCTTTTAGAACTTCTCAGAATTTTTAATATGCTAATATACATTGAGCTTCTCCAAGAGGGACTATTGAGTGCAACATTTCCTTACCCTTTCCCCTGCCCTGCATAGTTTTTCAGGCATTGAGATTGAAGGAGTATCTCACAGAATGAGTATATCACATTCCAAGAAAAGTTTACCTATGCAATTAAGTCAAAGTGCAATATACAAGATATTTTAAAATCTGGCCTCTGACTGTTTCTCTGACTGATGCTGAGCCCCATAACTTGTCTTTTACCGCACGCAGCATACTGTTTTTCACCTCTGTACATGCACCAGAGAGGCCACCCTGTGCCCACCTCTTTCTTCACTCTGCTCGCCCCACCACCGTTCCTCATCTGGATAATTGTACTTCTCCTTAAAACTATTATCATCTGGATAATTGTACTTCTCCTTAAAACTCAATTGAGGTATCATCTCCTCCAAGAAACTCTCTCTGATCCCATCTCCACATCAAGCACATTAACACCCTGTGCTGAATGTTATCCCCTTAATTTCTTGCTTTATCATATATGACTTTTCCCCTGCCCCACTGGATTGTGAACCCCTTAAAGCCCTGGATTATACCTCCATTGCCCTAAAACGGGGCTTGGAACAGAGTAGGCATTTAATAAACATTTGTTCAAAGGATGAATGAATAAATAAACAATCCATCATATTAGTAAATCATAATTTTCTTGATCCAGGCCTACTTCTTGATGGGCAGGCCTGGAAACACTACAAGTGTAAATACTAGAGGTAGGCCTCAGGACTGAGCTTCTAGGACATACTTTTCTCACAGTGGACATCCTACCAGGGCCATCACGGAGGCTTGCAATGTGGAGAAATCCGCTAAGTGCTCCGGTATCCCTCAGAGTAGAGAGAGCCTGGCCATCGCCCCATACCCTTTGGAAGGCAGCTTCAGAATTTTCATATCCTTTATCAAAGCTGTTACTGATGGATCATTTTTCTATCTTCTGGAAAAGGAGCTAATGAGTGAATGAGAATTGTCTTGAGATATAAGTGGCGTGAATTCTCTCCTTTCCTGAAATGACTATCATCCCTCGAATTTTAAGACTTGAGAAAATATGTTAAATGCAGTAGCGGTTGGAGCCAACATTTCTAAACAATGGATAGGCGAAGTATATGGTCAGTATGTGAGGAAATGTAGGCATCAGTTCCAGGAGGTAACGCTAACCTCTGAATGTAATGTCAATGTCATGTAGAAGCTATAATTTTTCTGCTATTTTAGGGGGAGGATTGACACAATAATACAGCCTATCTTTTTCTTTTGATGGTTCCATGTGGGACTGAAATGATTAGTTACACTTAGAATTAATATTTTGCACTCTCCATTCTGCTATAGAAAGATGATGCTACTGATGCTATTTATATTACTGAAGTAAACTCTTTGAGTTGTGTATATATGTGTGTGTGTGTGCGTGTGTGTGTGTGTGTGTGTGTGTATATATATATATATTTTTTTTTTTTTGAAATGGAGTGTCACTCTGTTGCCCAGGCTGGAGTGCAATGGCGTGATCTCGGCTCACCGCAACCTCTGCCTCCTGGGTTCAAGCGATTCTCCTGCCGTAGCCTCCTGAGTAGGTGGGATTACAGGCATGCGCCACCATGCCTGGCTAATTTTGTATTTTTAGTAGAGATGGGGGGTTTCACCATATTGCCCAGACTGGTCTTGAATTCCTGGACTCAAGTGATCCCCCTGCCTCGACCTCCCAAAGTGAGCCACCATGCCTGGCTGAGTGGTATACATTTTGAGTCTCTAGAAAGCTAAGACCCTTTTTATCTCTTGTAACATTCAGGACTGTACTTTATAAAAATGAGTATTCTGTAAACATTTGCATTGAATGAAATTTATTTCCTACTATATAATTTTTTGTAATAGCATATTTTGATATATTGAGTTCAGTAATAATAGTGAGGGCTATGTAAGGGTTAAGAAGAATACGTTCCATTTATGTCTTAATCTTTTGTTTTCTTCATTTAATGTATGTTTAGAGTAGCTTTGAAAAACAGCGTAACAATGGAATTCTTGAAATAGAGGCAGCCCGGATATTAATTGGTGCGGCAAAATGCTATTACTCCACCCAAGGAAAGTAAGTATAACACTTAATTGATATTCCAAAATTGAATGGCTATATGATGAAGAATGAATAAAATGAGAATTAAATGTCCAGATTGATCAATCTATTATTTCACATATCTATACCTATCCATCTTCTGTCTGTTCATCTGTCTGTCCTTCCATCCATCTATCCATCTACTTTTTATTTTGTTTATTTTTTTTTCCCTGAAGTTTTATAACCTAGGTGACATTAGGGGAGTCTGAGAAAGATTGGACTATCATGTAATTAGATAAGACACCAGGGAATCCATGAAAGGGAACTTATATAACTTCAATTACTTATTATAATTATTTTGCCTTTATATTATCTTCACTTTAAATTACCAGACAGAGGAGGTTCAGAAGCCTGGAGGCTGCCATTAGACTGCGCTCTGGGGTGGAGCAGGCTCTGGAAGAATTGACCCAACTGCTGGTGCTGACAAATGCAATTAAGTCTGGTGGGAAAAGCTCAGTATCTTAGAGATATAACAATATCTGGTTACAGTCCTGGCAAACATTAGATAATAGATGATCTAACACAAAGCTGTGGGGCAATAATAATAGGAGATCCTGGCTAGGTGATAGATAACATTTCAGCAGCCAGGTAGTCTGTTTGGAAGATCGTTATCAGTCGCTGGAATAAAGTTTAGGAAAGTTAGAGCCCTCAGGGCCTTGGAGAGGGTTGGGCCAGACCAACATGACAAAGGAAAGCTTGATTCCAAACTCCAAAGAAATGGTCTAGGGAAGCTTTACTTACGTTCAACCTCTGGTCAGGAACAGAGGCAGCAGGGGTCTCATGCTGAAACTACTCCTGTACCATGACCATGGATGGATAGGTAGATGGATGCAGAGGCATGCAACTGAGCTTATTTGGTGGTCCATATTAAATGTATACTTAGTACACCTTCCCCTTTTATATTAACCCAAAGTATATCACTTGCTTTTTATTATAACACATATATACATTTTTCTCTGTTAGATTCATGAGTATTGATGATGTTTCAACTTACATGAGAACTAGAAGTTGGCTTATGAAGTTTAAAACTGTTTTAACTTTCTTGGACTATCGTAAAGAAAAGATACATTTTATTCCACCTGAGTAAGTATTGTGAACCTTTAATAGAAACATACTTGAAAATACTACCATTTCTACATTGTCGGAATAGCTTATCTCAATTTTCCTTAAGAAAAACTATATTACAGTTTATTTTCACTGATTGAGTGGTGCTTGCTTCTCTTCTTCCATTCTGTTTTAGCAACTTCAATGACATCTCTATTAGAGAGTAGTCAGGAAGGGAAAGAGGATGGTCACATTTGGATCCTTCAAGTTTTAATTGCTGTGTCTGAGGGTTATAGTGTGTTGTGGGCTGATTAATATTCTTCTGGATATAACATAGAGCAGGGATGAGAAATAGCTAACTTTATAGACTAGATCTAGCTCTGTTTAATTTCATCTGTTCTATTGCGTGATTCTTTTGATCTATAATTAGAAAAAACACAACATGGCCTTAATAATACCTGTAACCAATTTTCCAAAATATCACAAAACACAGATTTTACTTAACTGGGGTAGATATTTTACTTAGTTTTATAAATTGTGAGCTTACATACTTTTTAGAGCAGAGAGACTTAATTTTTCTACCAATAGAACAGGTCAAAACAAGAATATACCAAGGGCGTTAATGCTGCTAAATTTTAAGTGGGCATTAACTTTTTATAACAAATTCTAGTAATTTTTAAAACTTTTTTACATTTAATAAGTTTAAAGAGATATACAAAAAATCAAAAGTGTAGGACTTTGACATATATCCAGAGAATTTCTTTTTGTCATGCTCTACTTTAGATGGAATGAAAAGTCTTAATAAATACGTGTCATAGTAATTATTTAATATAATGGTTTTCCCATTCTTGATTTTAAACAATCCAATGTGTGATTTGTTTTCCTCTAAATTTATTTATTTTTTGCTTTTATTTATGAATCTTTGCATTGTTTCCAAGGTACTGTAGCCTTGAGTTTTAAAAATGCTTCCCATCCCTGATATGGATTTTTAAAAATCATATTTTTTACCTTTCTTCATTATGATTTTTATGTATAGAAAGTATGCTTTTGAGTTTTGTTTCCTTTATTTTATATTATGTATAGTCTTCAAATTAATTTTAATTATTTATTTAAACAAATGTTGAACTTCAGCTGCTAATTATACGTTTAAGTGATCTAACATTTTATTTGATCTCTTTTCAGGAGTAATGCATTTCTGACTTTTATATTTCACATAGTATTTTCTGAAGAATTTGAATATACAGGACAGATTATAAATTTGATATATATTTATCCTATGATAATACATCTGTGGCCAATGGCAAGAGATTTACATGTGTCAGCACTGATATCAATAAACTACTATTTTATGTTTTTATATGTATTAGAATCAACATTGAAGGTACTGTTTAAAATAGAAATAGAATCTATAAAAAGAGCAATTCAGGTATTTTAATCTGTTTTGTCATATTATTGAAGTGACTTGATACCAAGAACCATTTGCTATGATAGTTGGTGAGATCCTGGAATTTTAGTAACGTTTTTGAATTTTCCAAGTTTAATAGTGAAATTAGTGTAAGAGTCATAGTATTGAACATCAGTTAAGTATCATAAAAGTAGAGAGATTCTCAAGTATCAGGTAAAGGATAATTGAAAATCCAGACATGGATGTTTCCCTCAAATATTTTGTGTAATGATGCAAGAAATAAGTGAATAAGAATTGGTTTGCTAGGTCCTTGTCATAAAATGTGAGTTAATTATTAGTATAAATGTGTAAGGTGATTTCTGAGCATTATTTGTTCATACTTTATTATTAATAGTATTGTAATGAATCTGTTTGTTGCTATTTTTATTGCTTGTTTCTGGCATTCCAGCTTTCTTATAGAGTATATATTTTTAACCAAATTATAAATGGTGAAGAGTTAAAATAATTTTTGGGGGGATTCCAAATGAATAACTTAAAGCTCAACTTTTTGAATATAACTCATTTGTAGTTAAGAACTTAATTGTTAATTTTATAGATTCCTTCCCCCCAACATTACTGTATAGGTGCTATGAAATAACACCTATACATTTGTTTTGCATACAGATAATAATTTTGAAAAGAAAATATTTTCGACAATATTGGAATGCTTTGGAATTTTTTATCCTGGTTGTTGGAATCATTGATATCTTTTGTGTATACTTTGTGAAATTGAGACCACATAACTTGGCTCTTATTCAGCTTACAGTAATAATGGGATATTTAAGAATAATTAGATTTCTTCCTCTCTTCAAGGTAAGATTTCACGTTTTAAAATATTAAGATTTGCCAGGAGTTGTAGCTCGCACCTATAATCCCAGCACTTTGGGAGGCCTAGGTGGGTGGATTGCTTGAGTCCAGAAGTTTGAGACAAACTGGGCAACATAGCAAGACCCCATCGCTAGAAAAAATTAAGAAATTAACTGGTCATGATGGTGTGCACCTGTGGTCCCAGCTACTTGGGAGGCTGAGGTGGGAGGATTGCTTGAGCCCAGGAGGTTGAGGCTGCAGTGAGCTGAGACTGTGCCATTGCACTCCAGTCGGACAGAGTGCAATGATGGCTCTGGTGACAAAGCAAGACCCTGTCTCAAAAAATAATAATAAATAATAAAATAAAAATTTAAAATTCTTTTTTTACATTGTGTTAGGTGAGTAAAAAACCTCATTGTTTTGAAAGAAATGGGAGCAGAAGTTGTCTCTTCTGGAACACCCTCTCAATAGGTATCTGCATGGTTCCCTTTCTCATCACCTTCAAGCCATTGCTCAAATCTCACCTTGTCACAGATGCCTTTCCTGACCAGCCTATGTCAACTGGCAACCCACCCTTCACACCCTCAATTTCTACCTCATCCTCCTGATTCTCTTCTACCTGCTCAACTTTAATTTTTGCCCCATAGTACTTATCAGCTATTTACTGTATATGGTACTCTCCATGAGGTAGAGATCTTTGTTTTGGTCTTTCTTTTTACATTTTTGAATAGAGATGGGATCTAACTATATTGCCCAGGCTGGTGTCAAGCTCCTGGGCTCCAGCAATCCTCCTGTTTCAGCCTCCCAAAGTGCTGGGATTACAGGCATGAGCCACCATACTCGGCCTGTTTTGGTCATTGATGTAACCTCTGCCTCCAGAACAGTGCCTGGCATAGAGTAAACACTAGTAAATATGTGTTGAGTGAATGAATGAAAATTTTGGTGTCGCTAGAAGCAGGGTAACCCAAAGACAATTCTTTAAGTTTCAGTAAAATTTGTTCATGTCTCCCAAACTCTACAGAAGCAAAAATATTTCCTCCATAGCTCCACAGTCACATAGCATACTACCTATGGAGTTTAATTTTACCGTGGCCTTCAGTTGCCTTAGCAATTACTATGCCTTCATTCCATGACTCTGGTTTTGATACTGAAGGCAGATTTTTATACTTTCAGTTTCAAATCTTAAACCTCTTTTCTCTCTTTCCAATGGAGTTGCATTACATAAACTTTTAACTTCAGGGCTTTAAATGATTTCACTTGCCATGCCATGTTTGTTGTTGTTTAATTCTTATTACATCAAGCAAATCCATCATGTTAGTATTTATTGAAGTTATATACAGAGACTTAACATTAAAAAAAATTGCTATAAACCCTGATGGTAAAATGCACACATGAGACTCCCCCACCTAGTCTCCATTCTCCACAACGTATAATAGTTATCTTTAAGGCAGAATTGTTTGACTATCCAGCTTGTGCTTACAGATTTTCTCTTTTGTTCCTTCATTTATTCTACATTGGTGTAACCAAACTTTAGTGTTCATAAGAATTACTATTCAGAGTTACTGTACCTGGTTTAAAGGGTAATTTTGATTCGATGTGCTTTTAGCCTTATGAGCTGAGAAGTGCTCATGTAAGGTGTAACTCCACCATGAGGTACACTACCCTAGAAATCAGGATGTGTTGTGTGAGGCAAAGACTTAAAATCAAAGGTAGAAGTTTCTTTAGGTAAATCAGTATTTATATAGAGATCGTATGCGGGTAAATGTAAAATAATTATTTTAGAAGCAATACTTTGTGAAGAGTATTTAAAATGAAACAAAGATTTAAAAGTGTATTCTTGTGGAAACTGTCACAGGGGAGCGACAGCTATCTGGGCTGGCGGCGTGGCAGTAAAAGAATTTACCAAGACAGTTGTAGATAAAGAAAAACATATTTATTTATTAGAGACAGTAGAAAAATACATTGCCAGGGAAACAATGGGCAGCCTGCAAGAAAGAAGCCAACTGTGAAGAAACAAAGGCTTGCTGGAGATTTTATAGGATAGTGTTTATGCCGTCTGTTGAAAAGGACTTTGTGCAGTTAATGCCACGGTTGCAGTGAACTAACTTGCAGGAGTCTGGTGGTTGTTGGGCCCAAGAAGATTTTGAGTTATCTGTGCAGGAGGGCAATGCGACCTGGTCCATGAACAAAGGCAGACTTGCAGCTTATCTGCTGCTTCCTTTTGCTTTCCTCTGATCCCACCAGCCTGACTCTTTTTGCCTGATTAGGGACTTTACATAAACCAAATCTGTTTAGAGTGTGGGCAGCAATGTTCCGAACCAGTCGTCCCTTCTGTTTAGCATGCTCTGACAAATCTCAGTGAAGTATATTATCATGGTTTTTAATTGAACACTCACTATTTTCCAGGACCTGTGTAAAGCACTTTACATAAATTATCTAGTTTAATTAATGGAATAGCTCTGTGAGGTAGATTTCACCACTCTGTGAAGTTAGGTGGCTCATAGCCAGTCTCAGCATAATGTGGCTTTCAAAAGAAACAAACGTGCATTGGAAATCTTGAAAGAATATTGGTGATCTTTAGGTGCCCTAAAGGACAGCTCAAAGAGTGTCAGTACACTGCAGAGTGTAACTTTGAAAACATCTTTAAACATCTCTCCCTTTGCCCAAAGTTTCAAAGGCAAAATAGCAGCTTAAAAAAAATTCCCTTCTCTGCTCTTGTAACTCCTTCACTATAATGCCATCTCCCAGTTCACTTTTTTTTTCTTCCCTTGTTACCCAGTCCCTCACCATCTGCCCCTGTGCTCTGACATGACTTTAACCCTGTGGGAAGCCCTCTGTCTGAGTGACTACGTGGATTTTGAGGAGCAGTTCTATTGGAATTCTGGTACTTAGATATTATTTCCTCATTTTACACATGAGGAAACTGAGTCCTCAAAGTCAGTAAATAACTGGCTCAAGGTCACAGAGCTGGTAAATAGGAGAGTTTGCATTTGAATTTAGAGAGGTGTATATTTAAAATCTCATTCTCTTAAGTCATGACACTAGCCTGCCTTAGCTTATGATTGGAGAAATATAGAACTAAGCAGGAACTTAGATACCTTAAGTTTCCTATTTTGCAAGTAAAGAAACTGAGGCACAGAGAGATGATTTGTTCAGTGAGTAACTATGACCTAGGTTAGGAGACGTGGTTAGGGGTTTTCTGAAATCTGGGGGTACAGAAAATGAGGGAAAGGGCAGTGCTAGAGACTTCCCCCTAAAGCAAGAGTCAATTATTCACTAAGCTTCGCCTTCTTTAGAGAATGGGTCTTGACTTTTGTAGGCACAGAATCACCTGGAAGACTTGCTAAGACACCGACTACTGGGCCCCACCCAAGAGTGTCTGATTCCGCAGGTCTCTAGTGGGACCTGAGAATCTGCATTCCTAACAAGTTTGTGGGCTCTGCTGTTGCTGGTCTGGAGATGACGCTATGAATTTCTGCCTCAGAGGGTGCTTTTCCTCATACAATTTACGGGTGTTTTTTCTTCTTCTCATTATTCCAGATAATAGTACCAATACTGATAAATATTGCAGATGTGCACATCAAAAAGTACCTCAGCTTGATGTATAGTATTACAAAAGGCTATATCAAAAGTCAAGAAGATGCCAAACTTCTAATAAAACAAATATCTGTCCATGAATCAATATATCAGGTGAGAAACAAGCACTGGTCATTTGGGGAGAAAAACACCTTAGGTGTTTTAACTTCTTTTAAGACTGGTTCTATGTATGTTTGACCAAACAGACAAATTCCAACAGTTGAAATGGATTCAGTTGTTTATTATATCATACGAGGTGCTGCAGAGAAAAGTCTCTTATCATTATATTTCAGTAGTTATCATCAAACTCATTTATTCTCTTCATAGCAGAAAATACCTTATCTCTTTTCTGAGTGCAGAGTATAGAGAAGAGATCTAGTATGTCTCTGTAACACTCTCTAAAAGACAGGACACTTGCAAAGGCGTTATGCAGGATTTGAGACTTGAATAAGGCTTCAAAGAAAGGGTAAGCCTTACGAGGAGAGGAAGAGAGGAAAAAAGAACAAAGATTTGACAGTGAAAACTTGAAATCCTGGTACTGTGGGGTGGGTGAGTAGAAGTATTTATTTTTTGTCATTTAAGACCCTCTTCATTTCCAGCCACTACGCGGTAAGTACTAGATGGGAGCCTAGAGGTGGAGTGAATCCCCTCCTAATCAGGCTCCCTCACACCAGTCTGTCTACTACCAGCCACTTGCAAAGAGTAGGGAAAGTGGAACGTGACTGCTGTCTCATTCTCAGGCTTCTTTGGGCCTGATAATGTAAAGGAGACTCTAATTCTTTAGATAAAAAACTTCGTTATTTTTCACTCATAACTGTCAACTCTGCTCTTTGCAATGAGAATCTTTCAGCTGATTTTCCAGGTTACAAATTTTTAAATTTCTAGTTGTGTTCATTCTTCTGTTTAACCCATCTATTAAACTTTTTAAACTTTTTTTTGACAATTACTTTTTGATCTCCAAAAACTGTAGTTGCTTCCTTTTCATTACAACTGTTTGCTTTAAAAGAATTAATATAACATTACCTAGAATCTTCTTTTCATTTTAAAAGATTTTTTGCTTCCTGTGTTAATTCTGCTTCCTTGGGGTTCATTCTCCTATTTGTTGTGTTTGGTTTCTATATTTCATTCTGTTTTTGCCCCCAGTGTTTGGTGATTTTGGTTACATTTTCACATGTGTCAATGAGGGGCTAAGGTGAGCAGTATCAACAGCTGAAAGGTGTTTTCTCAGCCCAAGTGACATTCTTGATTTTTAACCAGAGATGGATTTAAATCCTGATTACTACAATGAGTATGTGTGGATACATAAAACCATGGATGGCCTGGAGGTTTTGTCTTCTGGTTATGGTGCCTATTTTTGTGGTGATGGTTGCATTACCTCAGTCAAGAGAGGCTCTTTACTTATTGAAATCAGAAGAGGAAAAGAGGCTGTGAAGATATCTACCTTTATTGGATTGAACATTGATGTGTAACAGAATTCTCTCCTGTTGCTTTACTTTGAAGAATGGAGAAGAAAATTAAAAGAACTACTCAAAGCCTGCATTGATCTGCATTAGAAAGAACACAGAGCTATTCATAGGAGAAAAGATTTCAGAAGTAGGAGGAAAAGAGAAGAGAAACAAGAGCCAGTGGGGGGAGTTAAGACTGTGTTTTCAGGAGTTGGGAGAAGATGCCTTCTACGCATCTGAGGGCAGTTTCCTTGACGTGTCACAGGTGAAGTGAATCTCCTATGACATTTTAAAAGAGGCACCAGTAAAGATTTAAATGGCCTTTTGAGATGTGTTTAGATGTCTAACTGGTGTTTATTCTGAAACTGACTTGGTTCTGGAAGTTGGCCTGTGGCAGCTCACCTTAAGAAAAATAAATGTATCCCCAGGCTTTCATGATTATGCTGTCTCTATAGGCAGGAGTCAGTTCCCATGTGCTTTTGTGCAAAGGCGTTCTAGAGCAGTCTTACAGGGTTGCTGTAAGTCTAGTTTGGTGTGAAGGGGGCCTAGCTGCTATCTTTGCAGCTATGCAAGCAGGGCTGGTCTAGGATGGTAATTGGTTGTGGACAGGCTAGTAATTTGGCACCTTCCCAATATTGATGCAATGTTATCGAGTAAGAAGAAATAATTTAATAAATATTACATACCTTATTCTTATATTCAAAATGAGGGATTCATTACATGTGATTTTTTTCTAAACCAAAACAAAAAACAACAACAAAAAAAAACCAAAAACTTAACTTTGCTTAAACTTTAGATAACAAACCAGCTGTTCGCTATAAAGAGCACTATGCCATGCATTATTTGGGGCAGAGTTTCAGACATCTGTACCTGACAACTCTGAAGAACTGTCAGTTGTGTGATTTCAGGACTGTTGGTGTAGCCAAGAGCAAACTCCCCAGTGACTCAAAGCTAGAGGGTAAGCTTCAAGAGGAAAAGTGCCTGGGACATAGTGGGCATCCAATAAATACCTGTTGTGTGATTGGTTGAGCAGAGATTGGTTAGCCCTGGAGTGCAGTGGTTTCTTCAGTTATCTATGGAGTTATTTGTTAGAAATATGAACAAATCAATATCGTATTTTCTCATTTTTCTACTTCTTTTTGTGCTCCTGATAGGATGGCCTCCCAACTGGCTGCTCAGTTGGCTCACTCCCAAATCAGGCGCTGCCTATGAGAATTCTCCTTGGTGCACAGTGGAGTACATACTGATCTTTTCTGATAAGTATTAGGCACAGTAGTCATGCAAGCTACTGACTGTACTAGACTCATTGAGATTGACGTCTGAGCATGGGCAAAACAGCAGAATTGACCCAGAAGGAAGAATTGAGCCAATAACTTTTCTAAAGTTAACTAAGTGAAATGTCCTCTACCATACTTCCTTTTCTCTGAATTTAAAAGGAAAGCCAGGCTGGGTATGGTGGCTCATGCCTGTAATCCCAGCACTTTGGGAGGCCGAGGCGGGTAGATCATCTGAGGTCAGGAGTTCCTTGAACCAGCCTAGCCAACATGGAGAAACTTCATCTCTATTACAAATATAAAAATTAGCTGGGTGTGGTCACCCACACTTGTATTCCCAGCTACTTGGGAGGCTGAGGCATGAGAATAACTTGAACCCGGGTAGTGGAGGTTGCAGTGAGCCAAGATCGCACCACTGCACTCCAACCTGGGCAACAGAACAAGACTCTGTCTCAAAAAATAAAAATAAAAGGAAGGCTAGAACTATACTTGGTATAATAAATATACTTCTCAGGAGTATAAGAAGAAATGCATGTTTTTCTTAATTTCTGACACGAACTATATCAATAATAAGAAATACGTGTTTGTCTTAATTTCTTACAGAAACTATATGAAATTTTGGAAACCAACAAACAGGATGCTGTCAAAGAATTAGGTAGGAAGTTGAAGTATCTGAGTTCTTAAAGTCACACCTTCTTATCCTATAATTTAGTAAAAGAAGAACAATTCATGCTTTCATTTACTTGCTCATTCATTTATGCATTCAACAAGCATTTATTAAACACAGCTAATGGGCCAGGTATGGGAAAGCAAAGATGGGTAGATCCTGACGCTTAAACAGTGCAGAATCTTGTGGAGTATATGAGCGTATCAATAGATAATTGAAAAAGTTAGCAGAGTCCTGTTAGTTGTTATGGGGGTGTAGAGGAAAGAATGAGAGGAGTGTGGAAAGTGTATTAAGGTGGCAAGGTCAGAGTCCTCAAGGTTAGAAGAAAAAGACACGTAAAGGTTACCTTTGACAAAATGTTTTTGTTTTGTTGTTTTGTTTTTTGCAAAGATACTCTGGAATGTAGGCCTGCAACGAATGTCATTTCTTGAGTATCTCCAGTCACTCCACTTTACTTGAAGCACAGAGCAGGAGTCCAAGGATTTTATGCCAAGTTTTTTGGGTCAGCTTTCCTCATGTGGGGCTGTGGGCCAGGCTCTCAGTGTGTGCAAACGCATCTGGTAGACGGCCTGGCATACGGAAGGCCCTTAATAAATGGAAGTTATCAGAAAAGAAAATAAAGTAAAACCATTTCATATTCATGACCACATTGTAAGATGCCATATGGGGTTACACTCTCCAAATCAAAATGGAAAGAATGTGATCTAATGAATGAAAGTGTAAGTTTAGAGACAATAGATTAGGATCTTTTGGCATTATCTCAGAAAACCCATGATCCATTGTTGCCATTTACATATGGACAGATTTTTATTTCTGTGCTTTTAAAGATTAGGGGTTAGGACAGCTGCTTTATATTATGTTTTAGATCAGTATGGAATATTACAAAGTTTTCTCAATTCACTACTCTAAAAGGCAGTGCTTGTTTCCATGTGGTTACTGCAACTGATGACTGAATGCTTATCATGGCAAGAACTGCTAACTCTTTATGTACATTATCTCATTTAATCCTTATAATTACTCTATGAGGCAAATACTATTATTAGAGAGGTTAATTTGCCTGAGGCCCTATGGCTAGTAAGTAGTGAGCCAGGTTTCTAGCCCAGGTGTATCTGACACTAAAACCTATGCTTTTGATCATTGCTACCTTTCACTTTAGTGGTCAATTCATTTAGTTAAAAAAAAAAAAAAGAGTGTGTACCTTCGATATGGCAAGCATTGTGTTCAATGTTGAATACAAAGATGAAACAGATGCAATTTTAGCCTTGACTCACAGTCCAGTTCATGTCTTCTCAGGTTTACTAAAGGAGAAAGAATATGCGCCTTGATCTCAGAAATACCTACCAGCCAAAGTCCAGGGATACTTTCGTTCTGTCATGTATTAATCTAACCAACAAAAATTATACAATATGGAGGATGAGACAGAGAAGTAAAAACAGTAACATGATAATGTAATGAGTTCCATAATAGAGATATGCAGGAGATGCCACGGGGATAAGACAGAGTGATTTTCTCTTAGCTGGTGGGGGAAGCCAGTTTCCAATGTTCTCATCCATAAAATAGGGTTGAAAATAACTCTTGTCCTGCTGACCTCATGAGTTCTGCATGAAACTAGAATAAAATAATATTGTGTAAATGCTTCGGAAATTATACAGTATTGTGGTTATTGCACAGGCCACTTACTGAATTTTATTTTCTTTGCTGTAGGACTCATAGAGCATGAAGGTCGTGATGTTGTCATTGCTTTGAAGACTAAACAGGCAATCCGGAATGTGATTGCTAAAGCTCTAAAAAATCTCACCTTCCTTTGTTCAAGAGGCATTATTGATAAGCATGACAGCACTGAGATAAATAAGGTAATTTTGCTTGATTCTGTCTGCATAATACCCCAGCTTCATGGTTACTTTAGCAGTGTGTAATAAGGAGGGAGATTGAAAAAAAGTGTTTAACCACAGGTGGTAAGTCTATAATCACCTTCAGCCTTTGATAACGCAAGGGACGACGAATGCCAATGCTACCCAGTACGCTCCATTTGTCAAAACCACTTGATTGCAAGTAACAGAAACCAACTTGAACTAAGTTAGGAAAGAAATGGTTGGGGGATTTATCAAAAGGACACAGAGTACTTTATAGAACCCACAATAGCCGGGCTATGTGACAAGGCCTAAGGAAGGGATTTGAACAGAGATGTAGAAAACTTTCTAGAGTTTCCATTTCCTAACAGGGTTGCCCTCTATGGCATCTTCCTTTGGCTCACCCTATAGACTCACTAGATTTTTCTGCTTCTCCATCCACTGTGTCAATTGAATTATGAAGATGATAGGTTCAATCTGAGTTTGTAAGTCAGTGAAAATAGTAATAAGGGGAGACTAGGGACAAAAATGGTTAGAGGAATTTAGATAGGAAGAGAGAAGCTGTGAGTCAAACATCAAGGTTATACTTGCCTAACAGTAGTTTATTTAGATTTCCTTAGTTTTTGCCTACTGTCCATTTTCTGTTACAGGATCTGATCCCCATTATTTTGATTATTTGTTTTTAGATACTTCTTAAAAAATTAAAAGCACTAAAGAACTTTCCAAAGGCAATCCCACCCCCAACTCCTGACAAATACCTTCACAACATCATTTGGCTGGAAGGTAACGATGTTCTCATTGACTTCTTCAAGGTAAAGATTTTCTTTTCTATTCTGGCTCAGGTTTGATGATAATTATCTATTTTTTCCACTCCCTAATGAAAGATTAACAGAAAAGCATATCATATACTGGCCAATTCAGGGAAAGCCAAGACAGAGGCCCAGGAAAGTCTAAAGGAGGAATAAATCTCTTTTTGAGCCTAAAGGGCAAAGATAGTTTTTCACAATGCCTTATCTGCTTGGGAGTAGCTATATGTGTCTGACTGTTACCAATCCCATTCCATTTTATGTTGTAGAGTTCTGGACTTCTCGATGTACGCTCTTGGAGAGACTTTTTTTAGAGCAAGGGTCTCGAATTTAAGTTACTATACAGACCGGGCAGATAGTGTAAAAGTAAAGCTGATTGGCCATAGTATAATAGGGAACGGTGAGAACTGAGGTGTGTTCAAGTTCATGCTCTGTCAGCTGAGGGTTGCAACAGGACTTTGGACTCTTTCAACAAATATCTATTGAATATCCTCTACATGTCAGGGACTGTTCTAGGTTTGGTGATATGGCAGTAAACAAAATAGATAAAATCCCTACTTTCATTTTTTAATTTTAATTTAATTTTATTTATTTATTTTTTTGAGATAGAGTCTCACTCTGCTGCCCAGGTTGGAGTGCACTGGTGCAATCTCGACTCACTACAAACTCCGCCTCCTGGGTTCAAGTGATTCTCCTGTTTCAGCCTCCCAAGTAGCTGGGATTACAGGCATGTGCCACCACGCCCAGCTAATTTTTGTATTTTCAGTAGAGATGGGGTTTCACCATGTTGGCTAGGCTGGTCTTGAACTCCTGACCTCAAGTGATCCACCCATCTTGGCCTCCCAAAGTGCTGGGATTACAGGCGTGAGCCGCCGTGCCTGGCCGAAGTCCCTACTTTCATAAAGCTTATGTTATATGGATGGAGACGGACAATAAACACACCAAACCCATAAACATATAGCCTATCAGATGGTTATAAGTGCCAGAGAAAAATAACGAGAGAAAAGGTAATACAGAGCGGCCATGGGAGCCTGCTCTAATAAGGTGACATTTGAAGAGAGATGTGAAAGAAGGGAGGGAGCAAGCCAGGTAGTGTCTTAGAGAAGAGCACCCCAGGCAAAGGGAGTAGTGGGTGCAAGGAGGCCCCGAGGCCAAGTGTGCCTGGTGTGTTCCAGGAGCAGCACAGAGGCCCCTGGCAGGAGCGGTGCTGGAGAGAGCACATAAAGTCAGGGCAGTTGCAGAGGGCCCAGAGAACATCATGACTCTCAGGGGCCCTGGGCACTTCTGCCTTCGTGGGCCTCTTCCTCCACAAAACTATGAAAAATTAGACTTTATGACTGTGTTAGTATAACAATGAAGATATTAGTATTATATATTAAAACATTTTTCTTTATCTAAAACTAATTTTCCTCCTGATTCTAAAAGACATTAAAACATTGTTATAAGTGTCTAAAAGTATTGTAGATGCAGGTACTGCACCTGCTGATTCCTAGTGGATGGCTCCACCTTAGTCTCCATCCCTCCCTGCCTGAGACATACACAATCTTTGCTATTACCCTAACTGCAGACGTTCAGTTTGCTTCTGGATTTTGCATATATGAATCTTCTGCCCTGGAGGTCTTCAACTCATGTTATCCGAGCTATCTGCTCCTCCTCTTTCAAGTCTCAGCTTAGCTGTCCTGTCTGCTGTAAAGGCCTCACTGAACAACCAAGATAGGATCCTGTGGCTTTTCTGCACTTTTTTGTTTTGCATAGCACCCTGTCCCTGTCTTCTTTGTCATAATTATCCCATTTGATTGTAAATATCTACCCAACCTAACTAAAAGTTTGTTCTGAAGGCAGGGAAATTGTTTAGCTTACCATTATAACCCAAGCCCCAAACGGGGCTGAAAAGAAAGTTTTCATTCATTAATGTGCATATTCATTCCATAGTTATATCAGTTACTATGCTGAGTACTAATCACAAAGTCAAAGTTTGTTTGCCTGTTCCTTTATTTCTAGAAGTTGATGTGGTATATTAGCACGTTACAGTTCAGTAAAAAACCAAGAATGTAGTTTGTGTTTTATGCTACTTGGAAGCTATTTTAGCTTTAAAATCATATATATATTACATATATATATATAAAATCATATATATATATCTCTAACATATATATGTTGACTCTCTTTTTCTTTTCCTTTTTTTCCCACCCAGGAAAGAGCCAAACTTGCCTGTTTTGACTACGGAGATATCATTTGTAAAGCAGGTGAAATGCCACAAGGAATCTTCTTAATTATTTCAGGAATGGCAATTGTAAGGGACTATTGGTTTGTTTGTTTTTTTTTTCTTACTTAAAATGTATTTTGAAACATGTAATTGTAGAATAAGAATACATTTAGATACTGAAAAAGCTTAAATTTTTAATGTGATGAAACCATTTCTACTCTGAGCATGACAGCTGAGAGATAAATATGCAACACCTGAAATGTGCTTCCCATTCTACAAAATGCTGTCATAGTCTTTACTTATTTCTTGCAGCAATCCTGGGAGGAAGCAGGATTTTTCTGAATGTTCAGACAAGGAAATCAATACTTGGCGTGACTTAAATTACTCACGTAAAGGAATTAGGATGAGGATCAAAAATACCACTTTTAATCTGTCCAATGGGAGGCTTTTGTTGACCAGAGAGAGAGAGAGAGACAGAAAGAGAGAGAGAGAGCGATTTCAGTAGAGTGATGGGGACAAGAATCCTTTGTATCTGCATAACAGTAGTTTAGTAGCTGAATTCATGGGTGAGCCCCAGTTTGTGAACCAAATAATTCCTAGATCATCCCAGATGATAGTCATAAAATGACAAATCCTTATTATGGGAAAAATAATACATTCAACTTTCTGGTTTTGAAATGCGTATGTTAGACCTTAAAATATCATGGAAATAAACTACTATAATAAATAGAATACTGACACAATATAACACTTATTTACTCTCTGGCACTATTCTAAGCACTTTTCATTCATCCGTTCATTCATTTATTCAACAAAATACTTGCTTCATTACCACCATGTGGCAGGCACTATTAATTCTAGGCATGGGACTGACAAAACAGACACAAATCCCTGCCTTCTTGGAGCCTAATTCTAGTAGAGGGATAAAAGGAGATGGAACAATGAACAAAACAAATAAGTTTACAGTATGTTAGATATGATGGAGATATGAAGAGATTAATTGTGATTTTTAAAAAGGTAGTCGAGAAAGGCAATGTGGGCCAGTCACGATGGCTCACAATTGTAATCCCACCACTTTGAGAGGGCTAGGCAGGTGGACCACATGAGGCAGGAGTCCAAGACCAGCCTGGTCTTGGCAAAACCCTGTCTGTACTAAAAATACAAAAATTAGTTGGGTATGGTAGCACATGTCTATAATCCTAGCTACTTGGGAGGCTGAGACACGAGAATCCGAGATCCTGTCACTGCACTCCAGCCTGGGCGACAGTCTCACTCTGTCACTCAGGCTGAAGTGCAGTGAGGCTATCTCAGTTCACTGCAACATCTCCCCCTCAGGTTCAAGAGATTCTCCTGCCTCAGCCTCCCAAGTAGCTGGGATTATAGGCACGCACCACCATGCCCATCTAATTTTTGTGTTTTTAGTAGAGATGGGGTTTCACTAGGCTGGTGTTGAACTCCTGACCTCAAGCGAGCCACCTGCCTCGGCCTCCCAAAGTGCTGGGATTACAGGTGTGAGCCACCGAACCCGACCAACAACCCTATTTTTTACATGAGAAAACTGATGCACAGAAAAAAAATAATCCACTTGGCCCCAACTACACATACTCAGAGGCCAAAGATTACTTTAAACTCATGTAGTCTATCTCCAGTATCCATGTGCTTAGCCATTACACTATACTCCCATTAGAATTCTAGGAAAAACACACAGCTGCCAGTATTTATGAAATGTGGCAAGTTCAATACTTAAAAGCTGCAACTTGCTGTAACATGTTTCTTTGGGCGTTTTCCTGCAGTGACTGGACTAGCTAAGCCTTATTAAACTATAGTCCAATGATGTTTGGTCTGAAGAGGTTATATTAGTACTCTTTTGATACCATAACAAATTACTACAAATTTAGTGGCTTAAATATATTATCTCATGGTTCTGTAGGTCAGAAATCCAATGGGTTCTGCTGATTTCACTGCTTGGGTCTCAAGAAGCTGAAATCACGATGTCAGTAGGGCTGCATTACCTTCTGGAAGCTCTAGGGGCAGAATCTGTTTCCAGGCTCTTTGAGGTTGTTGGCACATCTAGTTATTCTTTATGGCTATTGAACAGAAGTCCCTGCTTCTTCAAGGCTGTCAGCTGGAGCCCACCCTGAGCTCCTAGAGCTTCTCTTTCATCTTTGCTTGCAGGTCCTCACGTCTCAGAGCAGGCAAAGACATATGGAATCCTTCACACATCTCTCTCTGATGGACTCCCTTCTACTTGCAAGGGCTCATGTGATTACAGTCCCCCCAATATTCCCGTCTATTGTTTAATCAAACACTAATCTGTAACGGCTGTGAAGGGACTTTGTAGATCTTTTTACGGTCAGCTGATTAGTATCCTTAACTCCATAAATCATCTTTTTAAGGTCAGCTGATTAGCAACCTCAATTCCACTTCAAAGTCCCTTCACTGCAGTCCCTAGATTAGTATTTGGTTGAGCAACAGACAGGAATCTTGGGGGGCCTCCTTTCAAATGCTGCCTACCTCAAATGTCATCATCTTTTCTTTGTTTGCAAAAAGCAGAGGCATTCTTCATTGCTCAAAGATCCTTTGAATTGCATTCAAAATTACAGCCATTTAAAAAAAAAAAAAATCAAACTCCTCTGGAAGCATGAATGCCTTTAAAAGTCTGAATGCTAATTGTTGGGAGAGAGTGACCTTTTGTGACCTGTTTCCTGTGTCTTAAACAATACCCTTCCTCTTTGATGTTTACAGCTAAATTTTCTGAAAAATTCTGTAATCCTTCTAATCCCAATTCTTTCAACTTCCCCCTAAAATCTGATACCTCTCTGCTTTCTCCAGTTATGCCTACCAGTTATTTTCTTGAAGTAACTCAACCATCCTATGTTCTTCCTAAAACCTTTTCCTGTTGATGTTGCATGGTAATTTTTCTTAAGCATTTTGAAAAGAGACAAGGCTTTCATTAACATCATGGCTTGGTTTGGAGTCATATTAATTCATAATATTTGATTTATGTGCCCAGGCAATCAAAAGTTATTTCCACGTGATGCATTAACCCATTGTGGTAAGAATATCTAATGGACTCAATGAGTGATTGCGTTAGTTGCATACTATAATTTCCAGTTTGGGTGGGATATTTTTTTTTTCTTTGAGATGGAGCCTCACTCTGTCGCCCAGGCTGGAGCGCAGTGGCATGATCTTGGCTCACTGCAACCTCTGCCTCCTGGGTTCAAACAATCCTCCTGCCTCAGTCTCCTGAGTAGCTGGAACTACAAGCACACGCCACTATGCCCGGCTAATTTTTGTATTTTTTTTTTTTAGTAGAGACAGGGTTTTACCACGTTGGCCAGGCTGGTCCCGAACTCTTGATCTTGTGATCTGCCTGCCTTGGCCTCTCAAAGTGCTGGGATTACAGGCATGAACCACTGTGCCCAGCCCTGGTGGGATTTTTATATAAGACAGGTATAAATAGAAAGTTGTAAATAGGGGTCATCTGTAAAACTAAAGATCAGAAAAAAAATCCTTGCCTTGGGAGTTGAAATGTGAAAGAAATCATGACTTTTTTTCCTTAAGCCTAATTCTTCTTTCACACCTGACAGGAGATCTTTGTCTTCCACTGGAAAGTTGTAAGAAATAGTGGGAGCTCCTATGATTTCATCAAAATTTTAATTTTTTCTTTCCCTTTGCACACTTTTTTCCCTTTGCAGTTGCATAGTTTATCTCCTACCTTTGGAATAGAGAGTAGTCAAAGGCCTGAGAGAAAGTCCAGTGACATGTTTACAGAGTTCTGTACTGCTGGGGACATAATTGGAGAGCTAAACTGTCTGCTTAAGTGTGAAATTGAATATACTGTCATCTGTGAAACTAGTTTACAGGTAGGAAAATGGTTCTGTCATGAGTTATTAATTTTTCCTCAAGTAAGTAAAAAATGCCGGCATCTTTTCTTTTTTAAGGTTTTGACATCTTAGTCATCCAACCAGCTATTGGGAGGTAACATAGCTGAAAAGGCAGATTTAGTGTCTCACATGCCAGGCTCTGCCAAGCTCCACTGCATCCTGCCTAAGGGAGTAGTTATTTAACCTCCTTAAGTCTCAGTGTCCTTGTTTATGAAGTAGAGAGAATACCTACCTTTTGATGTTATGAGGATTAGGAAAACATCTACGTAACATAACATGCCTGACACATAAAGGTGCTCAATAAATGGTCACCATTATGACAACAGTGTTTTTAAAGAATATTTATTTGTTTTTAAAACAACCCCGTTAAAAGTGGGCAAAGGATATGAACAGATACTTTTCAAAAGAAGACATACGTGTGGCCAACAAGCACATGTAAAAAAGCTCAACGTCACTGATCAATAGAGAAATGCAAATCAAAACCACAATGAGATACCACCTCACACCAGTCAGAATGGCTGCTATTAAAAAGTCAAAAAGTAACAGGTGCTGGAGAGGTTGTGGAGAAAAAGGAACAATTACACACTGTTGGTGGGAGTATAAATTAATTCAACCATTGTGGAAGACAGTGTGACGTTTCCTCAAAGACCTAAAGAGAGAAATACCATTGACCCAGCAATCCCATTACTGGGTATATACCCAAAGGAATATAAATCATTCTATTATAAAGACACATGCACATGTATGTCACTGCAGCACTATTCACAATAGCAAAGACATGGAATCAACCTAAATGCCTGTCAATGATAGAGTGGATAAAGAAACAGTACATATATACCATAGAATATTATGTAGCCCTAAAAAAGAGTGAGATCATGTCTTTTGCAGGAACTGTGGATGGAGCTGGAGGCCATTATCCTTAGTAAATTAATGCAGGAACAGAAAGCCAAATATCACATGTTCTTACGTATAAGTGGGAGCTAAATGATGAGAACACATGGACACATAGAAGGGAATAAAACACACTGGGGCCTTTTGGAGGGTGGAGGGTGGGAGGAGGGAGAGAATCGGGAAAAATAACTATGGGTACATGGGTGATGAAATCATCTGTACAACAAACCCCCATGACACAAGTTTACCTGTGCAACAAACCTGCACATGTACCACTGAACTTAAAAGTTAAAAAAGGAATATTTGTTTTTAAACTTCCTTCTATGTTTCATTTGCTAAGTAAGAAGTTATCTATTCAACACCTAAGTGTCCTGACATTTCACTAGGTGTGGGGAATTCAAATAAAAATGAGCCAAAGACCAAGGAACAGTCAAAGTGGTTCGTTAAATGGGTCCTGCTCCCTGTGCCACCCAACTGGGTGAGACCCTTGTCAGACACCCTATACAGGAGCATAGGTTGGTGCCCCTCAAGGTCAGAGTTCCCAGAGGAAGGAGCAGGCACCCATCTTTGCTGTTCTCCAGCCTCCTCGAGTGACATATCCAGGTGTGGGAGCAAACCAGATGAATGGGTCCTGAAGCAAACCCCCAGCAAACTGCAGCAGCCCTACAGAAGAAGGACCTGACCATTGCAAGAAAAACAGACAGAAAGCAACAACACCAGCATCAACAACAAAAAAAAGTCCCCACAAAAACCCCATCCAAGGGTCAACAGCCTCAAAGATCAATATTAAACAAACTCATGAACATGAGAAAGAATCAATGAAAAAACACTGAAAACCCAAAAGGCCAGAGTGCCTCTTCCCCTACAAATGATCGCAATGCCTGTCCAGCAAAGGCACAGAACTGGATGGAGGATAAGATGGATGAATTGACAGAAGTAGGCTTCGGAAGGTGGGTAATAACAAACTCTGCTGAACTAAAGGAGCATGTTCAAACCGAATGCAAAGAAGCTAAGAATCTTCATAAAAGGTTACAGGAGCTACTAACTAGAATAATCAGTTTGAAAGGAACATAAATGACCTGATGGAGCTGAAAAACACAGCATGAACACTTCATGAAGCATGTATAAGGATCAATAGCTGAATCTATCAAGTGGAAGAAAGGATATCAGAGTCTGAAGACCATCTTGCTGAAATAAGGCAAGAAGAGAAGATTAGAGAAAAAAGAATGAAAAGGAAAAAACAAAACCTCTGAGAAATATGGGACTATGTAAAAAGACCAAACCTATGATTGATTGGAGTATCTTAAAGAGACAGGGAGAATGGAACCAAGTTGGAAAACACACTTCAGGATCAGGATGTTATCCAGGAGAACTTCCCTGACCCAGTAAGAAAGACCAACATTCAAATTCAGGAAATACAGAGAACACCACTAAGATACTTCACGAGAAGATCAACCCCAAGACACATAATCATCAGATTCTTCAAGGTCGAAATGAAGGAAAAAATGTTAAGGGCAGCCAGAGAGAAAGGCCAGGCCACCTACAAAAGGAAGCCCATCAGACTAACAGTGGACCTCTCAGCAGAAACCCTACAAGCCAGAAGACAGTGGGGGCCAATATTCAACATTCTTAAAGAAAATAATTTTCATCCCAGACCTTCATACCCAGCTAAACTAAGCTTCATAGAAAAAGGAGAAATAAAATTCTTTCCAGACAAACAAATGCTGAGGGATTTTATCATCACCAGGCCTGCCTTGGAAGAGCTCCTGAAGGAAGCACTAAATATGGAAAGGGACAACTGGTACCAGCCACTGCAATAACACTCCAAATATATAAAGGCCAATGGCACTATGAAGAAACTGCATCAACTATTCTGCATCAACTATTTTGCATAGTGTGCAAAATAACCAGATAGTGTCACGATGACACGCTCAAATTCACACATAACAAAGTTAACCTTAAATGTAAATGGGCTAAATGCCCCAATTAAAAGACAGACTGGCAAATTGGATAAAGAGTCAGGACTCATTGGTGTGGTGCATTTAGGAGACTCATCTCACATGCAAAGACCCACATAGGCTCAAAACAAAGGGATGGAGGAAAAATTACCAAGCAAATGGAAAACAAAACAAAAAAAGCAGGTGTTGCAATACTAGTATCTGACAAAACAGACTTTAAACCAGCAAAGATCAAAAAAGACAAATAAGGGCATTACATAATGGTAAAGGGATCAATTCAACAAGAAGAGCTAACTATCCTAAATATATATGCACCCAATACAGGAGCACCCAGATTCATAAAATAAATTCTTAGAGACTTACCAAGAGACTTGGACTTCCACACAATAATAGTGGGAGACTTTAACACCCCAATGTCACTATTAGACAGATCAACAAGACAGAAAATTAACAAGGATATTCAGGACCTGAACTCAGCTCTGGATCAAGTGGAACTAATAGACGTTTACAGAACTCTCCACCCCAAATCAACAGAATATACATTATTCTCAGTGCCACATGGCACTTATTTTAAAATCGACCACATAATTGGAAGCAAAACACTCCTTGGCAAATGCAAAAGAACCGAAACTATAACAAACTCTCTCTCGACCACAGTGCAATCAAATTAGAACTCAGAATTATGAAACTCTCTCAAAACCATGGAAACTGAAGTACATGGAAATTGAGCAATCTGTTCCTGAATGACTCCTGGGTAAATAATGAAATTGAGGCAGAAATCAAGAAGTTCTTTGAAACCAATGAGAACAAAGAGACAACATAATGGAATCTCTGGGACACAGCTAAAGCAGTGTTAAGAGGTAAATTTATAAGCACTAAATGCCCATATCAGAAAGCTAGAAAGATCTCAAATCAACACCCTACCATCACAATTAAAAGAGCTAGAGAAGCAAGAGCAAACAAGTCCAAAAGCTAGCAGAAGACAACAAATAATTAACATCAGAGCAGAAATGAAGGAGATAGAGACACAAAAAACCCTTTAAAAAAATCAGTGAATCCAGGAGCTGATTTTTTGGAAAAAATTAACAAAGTAGATAGACTGCTAGCTAGATTAATAAAGAAGAAAAGAGAGAGAAATAAAAAAGACATAATAAAAAATGATAAAGGGGATATCACCACTGACCCTACAGAAATACAAACTACCATCAGAGAATCAACACCTCTATGTAAATAAACTAGAAAATCTAAAAGAAAAGGATAAATTCCTGGACACATACACCCTCCCAAGACTAAACTAGGAAGAATTAAAATCCCTGAATAGACCAATAATGAGTTCTGAAGTTGAAGCAGTAATTAATAGCCTGCCAACCCAAAAAAGCCCAGGACCAGATAGACTCACAGCCAAATTCTACCAGAGATACAAAGAGGAGTGGGTACCATTCCTTCTGAAACTACTCCAAAAAATTGAAAAGGTGGGACACCTCCCTAACTCATTTTATGAGGCCAGCATCATCCTGATACCAAAACCTGGCAGAGGCGCAACAACAACAAAAAGAAAACTTCAGGCCAATATCTCTGATGAACATCAATGTAAAAATCCTCAATAAAATACTGGCAAACCAAATCCAGCAACACATCAAAAAGTTTATCCACCACGATCAAGTCAGCTTCATCTCTGGGATGCAAGACTGGTTCGACATATGCAAATCACTAAACATAATCCATCACATAAACAGAACCAATGACAAAACCACATGATCATCTCAATAGATGCAGAAAAGGCCTTCAATAAAATTCAACATCCCTTCATGTTAAAAACTCTCAATAAGGTAGGTATTGATGGAATATATCTCAAAATAATAAGAGCTATTTATGACAAACCCACAGCCAATATCATACTGAATGGCAAGAGCTGGAAGCATTTCCTTTGAAAACTGGCACAAGACAAGGATGCCCTCTCTCACCACTCCTATTCAACATAGTATTAGAAGTTCTGGCTGGGCAACCAGGCAAGATAAATAATAAAGATATGCAAATGGGAAGAGAGGAAATCAAATTGTCTCTGTTTGCAGGTGACATGATTCTATATTTAGAAAACCCCATTGTCTCAGTCCCCAAACTCCTTAAACTGATAAGCAATTTCAGCAAGGTCTCAGGATACAAAATCAATGTGCAAAAATCACAAGCACTGCTATGCACCAACAACAGACAAACAGAGAGCCAAATCATGAATGAACTCTGATTCATAATTGCTACAAAGGGAATAAAATACCTAGGAATATAACTAACAAGGGATGTGAAGGACCTTTTCAAGGAGAACTACAAGCCACTCCTCAAGGAAATAAGAGGGGACACAAACAAATGGAAAAACATTCCATGCTCGTGGATAGGAAGAATCAATAGCATGAAAATGGCCATACTGCCCAAAGTTATTTATAGATTCAATGCTATTTCCATCAAACTACCATTGACATTCTTCTTCACAGAATTAGAAAAAAAACTATTTTAAATTTTGTATGGAACCAAAAATGAGCCCACATAGCAAAGACAATCCTAAGCAAAAAGAACAAAGCTGGAGGCATCATGCTACTTGGCTTCAAACTATACTATAAGGCTACAATAACCAAAATAACATGGTACTGGTACCAAAACAGACATGTGGACCAATGGAACAGAACAGAGGCCTCAGAAATAACTGTACACATATACAACCGTCTGATCTTCGACAAACCTGATAAAAACAAGCAATGGGGAAAGGATCTCCTATTCAGTAAATGGTGCTGGGAAAACTTGCGAGCCATATGCAGAAAACTAAAACTGGACCTCTTCCTTATACCTTTTACAAAAATTAACTCAAGATGACTTACATGTAAAACCCAAAACCATAAAAACCCTAGAAGAAAACCTAAGCAATACCACCCAGGACATAGGCATGGGCAAAGACTTCGTGACAAAAATGCCAAAGGCAATTGCAACAAAAGCCCAAATTGACAAGTGGGATCTAATTAAAGAGCTTCTGCACAACATGAATAGGCAACCTACAGAATGGTAGAAAAATATTGCAATCTACCCAACTGACAAAGGTCTAATATCTGGAATCTACAAGGAACTTAAACAAATTTACAAGAAAAAATCCCATCAAAAAGTGGGCAAAGGATATGAACAGACATCGTTCAAGAGAAGTCATTTACGTGGACAACAAACATATGAAAAAAAGCTCAACATCACTGATTACAAAAATGCAAATCAAAACCGCAATGAGATACCATCTCACGCCAATCAGAATGGCAATTATTAAAAGTTAGGAAATGGGCCAGGCATGGTGGCTCACACCTGTGATCCCAGCCCTTTGGAAGGCCGAGGCAGACGAATCATGAGTTCAAGAGATTGAGACCATCCTGGCCAACATGGTGAAATGCCATCTCTACTAAAAATACAAAAATTAGCTGGGCATGGTGGCACACCTATAGTCACAGCTACTCGGGAGGCTGAGGCAGGATAATTGCTTGAACCCAGGAGGTGGAGGTTGCAATAAGCCGAGATGCACCACTGCACTCTAGCTTGGTGACAGAGTAAGACTCTGTCTCAAAAAAAAAAAAAAAAAAAAAAAAAAAAAAGAAAAAAGAAAAAGAAAAGAAAGGAAAAAAAAAAGCCAGGAAACAACAGATGCTCATGAGGCTGTGGAGAACTAAGAACGCTTTCACACTGTTGGTGGGAATGCAAATTAGTTCAACCATTGTGGAAGACAGTGTGGTGATTCCTCAAGGACCTAGAACCAGAAATACCATTACTGAGTATATGCCCAACCATAAAAAGCCCAGGTCCGGATAGACTCACAGCCGAATTCTACCCAAAGGAATATAAATCATTCTACTATAAAGACACATGCACATGTATGTTTATTTTGGCACTATTCACAATAGCAAAGACATGGAACCAACTTAAATGCCCATCAAAAAATGTGGTACATACACACCATGGAATACTATGCAGCCATAAAAAGGAATGAGAACATGTCCTTTGCAGGGACACAGATGAAACTGGAAGCCATCATCCTCAGCAAACTAACACAGAACAGAAAACCAAAAACTGCATGTTCTCACTCATAAGTGGGAGTTGAACAATGAGAACACATGGACACAGGGAGGGGAACATCACACACCAGGGCCATTTGGGGATTGAGGGGGTGAGAGGAATGAGAGCATTAGGTTAAACAGCTAATACATGTGGGGCTTAAAACCTAGATGATATGTTGATAGGTGCAGCAAAGCACCATGGCACACGTAGACCTATGTAACAAACCGACACATTCTGTACTTGTATCCCGGAACTTAAAGTAAAATAAAATAATTAAAAAAAAAAAAAAAAGAAATGAGTCAAAGAATTCTCCATCTTTGGAGACTATCTGATGCAACAGAGCAGGATCCAGAGTCTTAGGGGTGTGTGGAGTGGAAGGAAATGTTGTTTTAGCTATTTCATGTCATTTTATTTTTGGAAGAGGCATGAGTTTAGTCATAAGGCTGAATTGAATTCACTGAAGTTCGTGTAACTTGAATCTGAAAGTGTATTTTTTTTATTCAGGTAAACTGTTTGCCTCTGGAAACAAATACCATGAATGAGCTCACTTTATCTACCATGACAATAAAAATAGATAGGTTCATATGGCTTAGTTCCTGAATCCTGGGCTTTGGGCTCATGAGCCATATCCTTCATTGTATCTATTGACTGATATACATTTTTCTGGTCTCTTATTAAAGTCTATAGCTTTAATCGCACCATGCATTTTATCATCTTATACTTAGCAAACAACCATTTTCACAATACAAATGCTTCTAAATGACAAGAGTATCATAATTATGCTAGAATTGATAGTTTTTCTGAAGGTTAAATCCATAGGCATCTTGTTTTTCGACGGTCTTGTAATTTAGTTCCAAATCAAGCTGCTATGGCCTGCGGTCTTTTTGTTTCAGGCCTGCTTTATCTCCCTGGAGGATTTATATGAAGGCTTTGATGCCTTCTGGCCATCTCTGGAATATAAAATATGGCTAAAGCTTGCTCTCAGTACTGCCTACCAGTATTTTGAATCAAGTCTTATTGACGAGGTAAGTTACATGATTAAAATATTAATAAATTGAATTTTTATGCATTGTATTTTTTACAGAATGCCTTTCATATTTTTGAGACAAAAATAGAAAGGAAATTTGTGTGCGTGTGTGTGTGTGTGTGTGTTTTTGAGACAGAGTCTCACTCTGTTGCCCACGCTGGAGTGCAATGGTGCAATCTCAGCTTACTGCAACCTCTGTCTCCCAGGTTCAAGCAATTCTCCTGCCTCAGCCTCCCAAGTAGCTGGGATTATAGGCGCCTGCCACAACCCCTGGCTCATTTTTTTTATTATTATTAGTAGAGACAGGGTTTCACCATGTTGTCCAGGCTGGTCTTGAACTCCTGACCTCAAGTGATCTGCTTACTTCAGCCTCCCAAAGTGCTGGGATTATAGGTGTGAGCTACCGTGCCTGGCCCTGTGTCTGATTTTCTAAAATGAGATTGCTAGAATTTTAACTGCTCTCTTATCCTGAGTTCCTACAGGTTGTCAATCCTTTTGTCACAGCTAATTTTCCCAAGCTACTTGCAATCATTTCAAAAAAAAGGTAGATTTAGCAAATTCAAAATAGGTAGATCCCCCCCTGAACCAAGCATAGTGTTAATCAGAATGTGTTAACAAATGCTCCGTCTATATTTATTATTGCCTACTCTGCCAATGTTAATATAAATCTATAAATCTCCTGCCTTTTCAAAATCTTTGTGGAGGTGACTGAGCCTCTCTCATGGACTTCCCCTCCAAACAGTAGTGGTTCAAGTTTGTCTCTGGACAAGCACAATTTACAGTCTCACATTTGTATCCTATTTAGTAACTGTTGGAACCCTTACTAGCTAGTGAGTCAGAACTGGGAAGTGAACTGGGAAAGATCTGAAGTTCAGTAATATTCACTGAACTGAGCAACTGGATAGAAATAAACATTCGGTTAAAAAATGAGTGTGTCATACACGCCAGTAAGGTTTCTTTTACTATATTGCAATAATAACTTTCAGAAAAATTTTAGCAGACGGATAAGGGGATTGGAATTCTTCTCTTTTCCTTTTACCTTGCCTCTTCATGAGAAGTGGGACAAATTTAGAGTCTAGTATGAGACTCCAGGGGTGAGAATTAGGACGAATGGATAGAAACTATGGACTCAGACTTGACTCAATAATAAGGTGAATGTCCTTTACATTTTTTTTTAATTCACAAGCAACACATATTCATTATACAAATGAGAAAGTACAGATACAAAACATTAAAAAATGTCTATTTTTAAACAGAGAATCTCTATTTAATAGTTTATTTCTTTCTGTTTTTTTCCCATTAAAGAACTAGCCAATTAAGATTTTTTTCCCTCTAAATCACAGAACTCAAAAAGTATATGCATTTTAAAATCAAACTAAAACAGCTGATTGTCTTTAGATTTTCTGGTTGTGAAATGCTAGATAAATTTGCTAATTTTTAAATGTTTTTGGTGTCCTAGTTGTGCTGGTGCCCTCAGCAAATAAATGTATGATTCGCCTGTCAATGACTGAGATTCAAGGACTGGCTCTTGTAGCCGTGCCCTGCTTGGGGGTGGAGATGTTTAGACTGAGCTGACAGCCCTGTCAGGGTCCTGTGCAGGAGATTCCTACTGTTGGGCTGATCTCTAAGTTCCTGGGTTAGTTTGCAAGCACTGCTGTAACAAAGTACCACAAACTGGGTGGCGTAAAAAAAACAGAAATGCATTGTTTCACAGTTCTGGAGGCTAGAAATTAGAAATCAAGGTGTTGGGAGGGTTGGCTCCTACTGAGGGGCTGTGAGGGAGAATCTGGGCCAGGCCTCCCTCCTTGGCTTATAAATAGCTGCCTTCATATTCACGTGGCATTCTCCCTGTGTGCAAGTCTGTGTCCAAATTTCCCTTTTTTCTAAGGACACTAGTTATTCAAATTAGAGGCCCATCTTCTTCCAGTATGACTTCATCTTAACTAATTGCATCTGCAGTGACCCATTTCCATAAGGTCACATTCCGGGATACTGGGAGTTAGGACTTCAGCATAAGAATTGGGTGGGAGGTGGGGTGCGTGTGTGTGTGTGTGTGTGTGTGTGTGTGTGTGTGTGTGTGTGTGCTCAATTCAACCCATAATAGCTCCCTCCCAGTTCTAAAGTCTATGACTCTGAGCCTTGAAGTATAGCTCAGACTCTAGCTTGCTTTCTTTTGGCTTTGTGTTATTTCTATTCACCTGTCAAATGGAATGTAAGCTTACTGCTAGGTGACCCTCTGAATCTTTTAAGACTCTGGGTCTTTGTGCAAATAGAAATCTCCTGAGTCATAGCCGACTACCCTGCTGTGGCTGACAGCTCACAAATTAGGGCTGGGCAACAGTATCCAGGGCCCATTAACAGCGCAAACACTTGGAATTTAGAAATTTGTCAGAGGCCATTCTGAATGCTAAATAAATCCTGTCTGTTGGTGCCAGGGGCCGTGTACCTTCTGACATCCTCAAATAATTCAGATCGATCAGTGAATCTGTTTTCTTCTTGATACCATCTGTCAGTTTGTATGACTTGTTTTTAAAAATGCAATTTTATTGTAGGACTTAAGGTTTCAGAAGTGTGTGATGTTCAATCAAGCATATGTGGAAACTTTATCAAGCTATAATGAAATGAGTATTGATAATATGACCATGAAATTTGTTATCATTGTGTATGGCAGTGTAATTGATATTAAGACAGAGGAACCATATTTTGCACCTTGCATTATACCTACAACCTGTGAGCAGGTAAGAAGTATCGTTTCTAAAGAGTCTCTTGCTTTTCACAGTGCTTCAAAAGTGACTTTAAAACTCAACTGGCCACCTTAAAAAGAAATTTAACCTGGAATGACCGTGTAGTTCTTACTTGCCTTTTGCAAACAGTAAAAATGTACCAAGGGCTTCTGTGTACTGTAGTACAGGTGCCTTACACAAGGGTGTGCCCAAGGGACAGGGAGCTGGAATCTGCCTGCTGTTTGCTTGCCATGCACGCCCTTTGCTCTGGCATGCGGCTGTGCCAGAGGAAGGATGAGATGCAGTAAGTTTTCCCTGGTTTACACCAACGCAATGATGCCATGTTCTAGCATAGCTCTGGAAGTATCTGCATAGCTCTGGAAGTATCTGCACCAGTTGACAAGAAAGGAGTAGAGCCGGGGCCACATCACTTTGTTGCCACATTAGGGGCTATGGGCACTTGATAGTAGATCCTGGGCCCTGGGTCTCAGCATTCCATACCTCTGTAAAGACAAAGGAAGTGTGACCACCTAGGACATAACAGGGCGTGGGAAGGGTAGAAGCAAAGTCCCTAATGACCCAAGCTGCCTGCCACTGGACAAAGGAATGGGGAGGACCAAGAGGCCATGGGAAGAGATGACATCTTTTTAAATCTGGGAGTAAGTTTCTCCCCTATGGGAGAGACCTTTTCTGCCAGTTCAGACTGTGAAAATTCATTAGGAAAATTTGTCCTGGAAAAGTTGGTAAACCTAAAAAGTGAATTTTTTCCTTTCAAAACATTCTTACTTTGTACCTTTCATCAATTCAAATGATGAAGGTAATTTAAATGTTTTTAATAGAAAATTAAAATCTTGTTCAGTTTTGAAACAAAGGGTGGAGGTAAGAGGCAAGCGGGCAACAGGAGTAATACTGCAGCTTAGTGTCTTAAGAGACCAGGGTTTGGAGTCAGGCACACTTAGACTTAAAACTTGACCCCTGTGCCTACTTGTACTTGAGCTTAGGTAAGCTGCTTAACCTTTCTGACCCTCAATTTCCTTCTTAGTAAGATAGATAGGGATAAGGTCAGCAGCCATCTTATCGGGTTATTGTGAGGATTAAATGAGATAATGTGTGGTAATCTAAAAATGATAGTTACGATGATTCCTTGTTTGCTGCTGGCATTCTGGGAGGCAGATTTTATGGTACATAGGACAAATGGTCTAAGAAAGGAAGACAGTCTTGCCATCCTGGGAATGCTGAGCCTTGAGCCCTTGAGCTTCAGTGTAGGAGTAAAAGTAGCTTACTGGATGCTGGGGATTCCCTGCTTTCCAAACTGGGAATTTCCAGTCTAGTTATAAGTAAGGTGTAGAAATTTCCTCTCTGGTGTCTAAATATGCAAGGACAATTTGTTGGTCTAAGACTTCTCAACGTCAAAGAGGATTTGAAATTTAGAATACAGAGCCAAGATTGAAGACCCAGCTCTACGCTTTGGCTTATTTTTTATATTCTTTGGAAAGGTCAGAAAGAAGCCAGGTTAGAGATCAAAGAATGCTCTTTTGACTAATTTTGACTTTTCTCCTCTAGGTTCAGGGAACTTCTGATTTAAGCAAGCTGCTAATAGTCCAAGCATCAGAGCTTACCCAAAGGAATAGTAACACCAATGTCATGGGTAAGGGATAGACCTTTAGTGGTAGGAAAACTATTGAGAAGGAACTTCAATACATGTAAAATTCCTTTAACTCTAAGAAAGTGATTTGAGAGGGCACTATGTGGGTTTATCATTAGTCCCCATCCTCGGGCCCACCCTGGCTGCCACATTGCTCTGGGAGGTCACATATGAGAGACTTCCAGACCCTAAAATCCAGGTGGCTCCTTCCTCTGCCGTGTCCTTCCCTCCATACACTAGTCAGGGGAGAGCAGCTTCTGCGGTGCACTCTGTTGCTGCCCTGGTAGGCTGGAACCACATGGTGCTGGCAGTGCAGCAATGGGGTGGGAACAGGGGAGCTGGTTTGCTCCCAGCAACTGAAAGGAATAGGGAACCTTACCCATGCTCAGTGAGTATTCCAAACCATGGTCACAGCTACAAGTCAAATGACTTGCTTTGAGTATGCTTTGATAGTCACTGAGTAGTTATAGTTACGTTTATTAGCATCCAACTGCATGCATCATGATGCTAAGCATTATACAGAGAAGACTTGATAGGAAGAGCTTGCTAGAAAAAGCACACTCAGGATCTTTCATCTTCTGCTTAGCATCCCTGCCCTCCCAAGCCTAATGACAACATTCTCCCAGCTGTCCCAGCTTGAGGACACATTCTGGGTTTGTAACTCTAACCTGCACCATCCCAGTGTTTACAGTTCATGTGATCCATCGGTTTATATATTATGCAATTCTTAATGAATTGTTGCTTTGGGGGAGGGATTTACATGATTTCAAATTGTGTGCGAAGAGTGAGGTTTTCTCAGTATCTTACATCTCACTATTTCTCAATTGCATACTTTTTATAAAATTCAGCCCCACTGTGTGCTGGGTACTGTGCCAAGAGCCAATTGGTGAGTGAGCCAGATGAGGTATTTGCCTTCACAGGGAGGAGAGACAGATATTCAATAAGTAATTATACTTTTCCCTTGGCAGCAATTTGAATCTCAGAGGTTCCTGTGGCTCACCCTCCATCCCCTCTTCTAGGGTCATACATAGCACTGTGATTTAGGGAGCCTCCTCTGCTATTGGGTCACCTGTCCAAGTGGGCTAGCACTGAGATGACCATTTCCCCAGCCCACACAGTCTCTGAAAGTCTGCTGCTCCGCTGCTTCCAAATCACTCTTGGGGCGCAGGAGTCTATGGCAAGGCTGGGAACTCAGGGCCTAGCGTCAGCCCCCTTGGGTCACCCTAAGAAGTGCTATTGAGTCAGAGATCTTAAGCACTGTCAGGGAGCAGGGCACAGGTCCCTAGTGTTCTTGTGCTCACAGGCCCCTTTTCTTCATGAGTTCCTCTGTAATCATTTTTAGATAGAGGAAACACATCACTTTGTATTCTTCATGGGTTTGAGACAAAAGTCACAAATGGTAGGCACATGGACTGGATCTTTGACTCTTAGTTTGTTTAAGAGTCACTTGTTTTCTTTTAAAATTTTAAAATTAGTTGCCAAATAGAAACAAATGTTTTGCATTTTAAAAATGCAGATTTTGAAGTTTTCATGAAAAAATAAGGTCAGCCAGCACTCAGCCCTCATTCCTGTATGTGGCAACAGATAGGGCTGAGTATCAGTTGGCGTCTATAGAGGGAGCAGACGCTCTGCAGCTTGCCACAGTCCACACGGCTCCCTCTTGCCTTTTCCCAGCCCACTTCAACTGTTTACGTGATCTGCCTATTCCCACATGAGTTTGTCAGCCCTTGTATTGGACTTTAGGGAGCCTACCACAAACCTCTGAGGGAAGAAAAAACAGGGACATTTGAGAGGGGGAAGGGAAAAGGGAGACTTCTAGGGAGAAAGCAAATAGATATTTCAAAATATTTTCTGGTTGCCTTTACTCTTAAATTCCTAATTTACTTTTTCTGTTCAATGCTCGGATTTGGTTAACCTCAGTCGACACTGGTCTTTGAACAACAGGGAGAGAATATGACTGGAAGACAAGAGATGAGGTAATAAACTTGACACTTCGATTATATTTTTTTCTTACTGCAAATATTGAACTATACAGCTAAAACAAATTGAGGTAAAATAGCAAAATGTAGGTGGTGAGAAAAGACACTCCTAGCTACAACTTATTAATTGGGACAAATTAGAATAAAGCCCATCTGAATTACTTAAAAATTAAAATTACAGAGTATTTTTGAAAGATGTAATTTTGCCCCACCCCATTTTTCCCCCCTCACTGATATTTAGGTCAAAGAATAGGGATCTATGGAATTTGCGGTGAGGAGGGACATATATCATGCACACGTGTAGACACCAGAGTCTAAATCTCCATGCTTCTGCCTTTGGAGTGTGGATTCCTGGATGTATAGATTGCTACGCTTGCAATTTGTGGGGTCACAGGCTGATCATAGACATCTTCCTAGAGTACCAATTTTACTTGAGCATCTTTTAAAGAAAAAGGTTCACTCATTTAACTGGTGGGTTACTTAAAACATTTTATATTAAAAAACATATTATCGAGTAGGATGACAAATTTGCATGAATTTTTAAGATAAAACAAGAGACTTCAAAACATTTTGTTATGGAGAGTCATGTAGATTTTTGCCCCCACATCTTTTCCTTCTTTCTTCAGTGACCAGGACCAATTTAGAGAAGTCTGAGAAGGCTGGAAGTCATGCCTAGAGTTGAAAAGGAACGCGGGCCTTTCATATTGGACCAGGACAGAATAGAGACAAGTCTGGTGGTGGTGAGGCAGCCTGCAAGACTCATGACTCTAGAGGTCTCTATTAGGGCTCCTGTTTGGGCCAGAGCAGACTGCCGGGTGGACTGGAGTTGCAGATGACTCTGACAGGGTAATAGGATGCTAGGCAAATGCTGAAGTGGGCCAGATAGTAGTGATGGTGCTAAGCACAGGCTTCAAGGGCCTTTAGTCTTTTCCCAGCCAGGTGCCAAGTCATCCCAAATAAACAGCTTTTTTTTTTTTTGAGACGGAGTTTCACTCTGTCACCCAGGCTGGAGTACAGTGCACAATCTTGACTCACTGCAACGCCTACTTCCTAGGTTCAAGCAAATCTCCTGCCACAGCCTCTGGAGTAGCTGAGACTACAGGCACATGCCACCATGCTCAGCTACCTTTTTTGATTTTTAGTGGTGACAGGGTTTCATGATGTTAGCCAGGATGGTCTTGACCTCCTGACCTCATGATCTGCCCACCTTGGCCTCCCAAAGTACTGGGATTACAGGCGTGAGCCACCACGCCCAGCCATAAACAGCAAGAGAAGTCCCTTGGCCCACTTCATCCCCAGCCCAAAGACCCTTCTAATAGCAATGTTGGTCCTGCCACTGTTATTTATGATAATCAAGGTGGTTTGCAGTGTATTTGTTGGGGAAAGGAAAGTTGCATTGACCAAATTTATGGTCAATAGTTCCTTTAAACCAGGTAACCTCACTCTTTTTAGGCATCCTCCCAGGGCCTTCCTCTCCTCTCTCTTAAAGGGACCCTATTTCACAAAGGGGAATTAAGACTCAAATAATTGAGTTCCTCATTTGTTACTATCTTGCCCAGCCCCCATTACTTAAAAAGATTCCCATTCTGATTTACAAGAAGAGTTTCCAGTAGCCCTGCAATCAGTCATAAAGTTAATTGGAATTCAACTTCTGTAACATTTCTCTTCTTCTTAAACACACCTTTGATAGACTACTCTCATTGAATTAATGTAGTATCTCTTCACAAGATGACAGCGTAGAGATGCACATGTAATTAATTATATGCATCACTCAAAATTCTTCACATGAAGATCTTTTAGGAGGAATGTTTCAGATAATAAAATAGAAATGCTTACATAAGTTTTCTGGTTCCATTTAACAGTTAAGAAGTTTTTCCTGAAATGTTTATAGGCTAATATTTAACTTTTGACTTTCTTTTATAGTTGAAAACTGGATACCATTTTAGAAAAGGGTATTAATGATACAAATATGATGTGTGGAGTCAGGTTAAAGACCAAGCTACTTTCCTCACTCAAATGCTAAAGGATTATCTCCAAGGAGTTTACTTAGAAGCTACTGAAACAGGTTACTGCTGCATTTATTTTATAAGCAATGGATGGACTGCTGTAAAAATTCTTAATTTTAAGTAGTTGCATTATATTTGAAATGTTAAAAAATTCTTCGGGATAATATAAAATACACTGAAACATATGTCTTATCAAATGAAACCCTGTTTCCAGCTAAGAGCAAATTTTAACATAGTGCATTATAAAAAGTATTGTATAACTGATATGTTACTATCTAAAGCATAGAATCTGTAATTTTCATTTGTGAAATTGTTATAATTAGTGCCTCCCTAATATTTTCCAGAGTGTAGCTGTTCTCCCCTTCCCAATTTGGTAAATATTGAAAAACTGAATTATATTCCACAATCTTAGTAACTTTCAGTAAGTAACTTTTGCTTTCAGTAAAATTTAGGAGAAATTAATATTCTCATATTGCATAGTACTGTTTGATGTCACCTTTCATTTTATTTTTAAAAATCAAATAAAGTTGAGTTTTATGGTTGTCTGTTTATTATTAGAACCCATTATTCCTTTTCATCTCAACAAGACTGAAAGGAATACATAATACGTTAGAAGAAAACCATAATAGTGGTGTTACAGGAAGGGAGTCAGATCCAGACCCCAAGAGAAGGGTTCTTGGATCTCATGCAAGAAAGAATTCAGGGCGAGTCCACAGTGCAAAGTGAAAGCAAGTTTATTAAGAAAGTAAAGGAATAAAAGAATGGCTACTCCATAGACAGAGCAGCCCCGAACGCTGCTGGTTGCCTATTTTTATGGTTATTTCTTGATGATATGCTAAACAAGGGGTGGATTATTCATGCCTCTCCTTTTTAGACCATAGACGGTAACCTCCTGATGTTGCCATGGCATTTGTAAACTGTCATGGTGCTGGTGGGAGTGTAGCAGTGAGGACAACCAGAGGTCACTCTTGTCGCCATTTTGGTTTTGGTGGGTTTTGGCTGGCTCCTTTACTGCAACCTGTTTTTATCAGCAAGGTCTTTATGACCTGTATTTTGTGCTGACCTCATATCTCATCCTCTGACTTAGATTGCTTTATCCGTCTGGGAATGCAGCCCAGTAACCTTCAGTCTCATTTTACCCAGCTCTTATTTAAGATGGAGTTGCTCTGGTTCACATGTCTCTGACATTTCCCCCTCCCTTTTATAAAAGGAGGGGGAAACCTTAATCCTGAGGGTTGCAGAGGGATGAAGATCCATCTTCTGTAGCTTTTTCAGGTTGAATGGGGTGATGATATTCTTGCCTAACTATGAGGATCTCTTGCATTCAGGGTGGAGAGGAGTTTAGTAAGAAAGCATCAGTATGGTAAGGTTCATTCATAATTCTTGAATTTTGACAAAAGGTGATATCTGGAAGATTAATAAGTGTTTAATGTAAGAAAATATTTAGGGCTGGGCATGGTGGCTCATGCCTGTAATCCCAACGCTTTGAGAGGCCAAGGTGGGTGGATCATGAGGTCAGGAGTTTGAGACCAGCCTGGTCAACATAGTGAAACCCCATCTCTACTAATAAAACAAAAATTAGTCAGGCATGGTGGCGTGCTCCTGTAGTCCCAGCTACTCAGGAGGTAGAGGCAGGAGAATCACTTGAACCCGGGGAGGTAGGGGTTGCAGTGGGCTGAGATCACACCACTGCACTCCATCCTGGGTGACAGAGCGAGACTCCATTTCAAAAAAAAGAAAAAAAAAAAGAAAGAAACATTTAGTAGGCTTGTTCTGTTTTCCTACACAAAGAGTATAACAGTAATATATTCCACAAGAGTAAGGCAAAATAAGTAAAGTTATATTCTAAGTAAACTAAATTAGAAGGCTTTTCATGAACTGGGCAACTTTTAGAGCTAAGCCGGTATGGGGTTAGTTGGTTGTAATGTGCCCAGAATTAGAATACTGATCCAGACTTTTATATTACCCATCCTCTTGTTTTTTTCTGAGCAACAGTCAGAGATTACTGGTTGGTTCACAGGAGTAAACAGGGTTAGCCTAAATTGCAGAAACAGAAACAACTAATGAGACTAGAATTTAATAACAAGTGTCCCATAGTTCTTGAAACATAATATTTCTCTCTCCAGTTATCCATTTTTACTAAAGACAAATCATGGTGAGACTGATTTACTTTATTATACTTGGCCTGATTATTTGTATAAAGTGCAGCAAGAATAATTATTTTTCACATAGGTTTTTAAATTGCATTGATAGAACTCTGTTTTATAAGGAATCTCAGATAAGGGTTTTTAAAAGCTGAGTCCAGCCATGGGTTTGTACCCTCTAATACCTATGAGTTGGGTAAGTTTCTTTCCTCTTGCAGTCCCAAGATAACTTACTTCTACTTCTACTGGACTTGATAGAAAGTGACATTTACTTACCACAAGTCAGAAACCCTGTACAGGGACTGTGTAGGCAAGGTATGAGGCCAGTTCCCCAAAGGGCTTTTACTGGCTCTACACGTTAATTTTAATTCCTTAAAGGAAAACACACCGTTCCAATAAAAGCCTTGGTAAAATAACCAGTTTCTCCAATTGTGCCCTTTTACAAAAGAAAACAGATTCTGATTGTACTTATGCAAATAACTATATTGCCATAAGTTAGAATACTCACAACTAGTTTCCAAATTCTGGAGAAATCAGGTATAGAGAAACAAATACACTCCAAATTTTGTTCACAGTAGTATATTTTACTCAACTGCTAAAAGCTATAAATAGAAAAGCTCAAAAGAAAAGTTTCCTTGACTCTGAAAAACAAAACAAAGGATCAGCAACATTTTAAGCAAAGTTAAAAGGATTACTTCAGTCTTCCATTGGTTCAGTTAATTTAGTTAAGACCTGTTCTATTTTATATTCATGAACAGTCCAGCTCTTCATGAGAGTTCTAAAAGGTGTTTTCTCTATTCTAATGTTACAATCTCCAAAGTTATTAGAAAAACCTGCATTTAAGAACACCTGTTAGAGTTCTATAATTGATTATAAACCACCTTCTGAAGAGGATTAAAACAAGTTAACAATTGTCTGTGGCTTACAAAATGTTTTAGGGCAGCCACAGTCAAAGAAACAATTGACAAGGAAATTTGTTACCTCTGTGGCATACAGTGATTTTGTGTAACAATTGTAATTGTTACTGATAATGTACACTAAGTCATATCAGAATTATAGGAGTTTCCCATAATTTTGGAATATATACCAATAACACAGTTACGAAAATACAGCCCAAAGAAAACCAAACACCATTTTATATTTGACAATACTTCCTGTATGACTTTTGTACCGAATAAACCAAATGTCACTGTTGCATTAGTGCATTATTTATGTCAAACCCAATTCTTAATAAAACCTTATAAATAAATCCATCCAATCTTAGTTTGACCATAAGGTAAGATTCTCATAAGCCTTTTATAACCCTTTACAAGTTTTTGTTAAAGAGCAGATCATAAGCACGGTTTTGCTCTAAGAAAAGCCTGTTGTGCTTTTATTCCAATGTTTAATTTATAGAAAAACTGAATAATATCCCTTTAATTCAGCCAATGTCCACACACAGACTCTCTTTTATAATTATTTTTTTACAAACCTTTTACAA